TTTCCTTACAGTTGCCTCATCCTTTCTGAACTCTCTTTTAAAATCCATGTGATGCGGAAACCCATCACCATGGTTTGGATATTCTTAAGCATGGTGATGGATTTCCGCAGGTGTCAGACACCCAGTTGATCAAAAACAAATTCAAAATCTCTGCCTTGCACCGTATTTTCCCTTCCTTGAACCCTTGTTAAAAACATATTTATTATGCCTTTGGCCAACAACCTCAAACTGTTCAAGAACCCTTATTGTATTTGTAAAGCATTTGGAAACATTATCCAACTTGAAAGTAATAATAATAATAAATCTTGCGTTTGATACAGTGCCTTATCACATCATTGGCTATCTCAAAATGCTTCACAGAATATAATGTGTATTATGTGGACAGAAAGTGTTGTATATGTACAAGTTATAATGTCCATGATTATGTAATGTGAGAGACAAAGAAACATGAAAATTGGTGCAATTGGGTACACTTAATAAATGATGCACCAAACACTTGAAGCTGATACAAATATGAACATAGGTGTAAACAGGACTAGAAAATAAATCTGACGAGTTCCAAAATAATAATAATAATCCTTAGATTTGATGTAGTGTTCTTCATATCAGGAGGACATCTCAAAGCGCTTCACATAATAGACTGTAAAGTAGTATCAGTGAATTTTGTGGTGGAACGTGTAAAGTAAAATATAAGTAAATAAAAAAATCCTACAATTGGTACCCCTCTTCGTTTTTATTTCAACCAAATAATTACTTGACTCCTTGCTCAATTTGCTGACACATCCTGTTTTCCCGGCTGCCCTTTGCTTATACTATATTCACCATTCTCTGTGTAACGTAATTGCATCTAATAATGTAACAAATTGGATGGATTGCTGGCCAGTCAGAAAGAAACAAACTCAAGAGATGCATATCGGTCGTTGCTGGTGCAGGGACTTGCTAAACCATTCGCCAATCCCAGTATAAGAATTACCAACTGTGTTGTTATTAGCCAAGTATCTCATGGGTCATAACAACTTCCTTGTGGTGCAACAATTCCTTTGTATTTTAAAAAAAAACATTTGGCACATTTACAGAAACCATCCCAGCTTAGTTTCCTATTTACTTGCTGGGTTTCTATGTCTTCCATGCATATCATAACAAAACGCGCACACCAACAGCAATGTCTTGCGCTTCACAAGTGCGAAGCACAACAGCAACTAAACCTGGGAAGCTTTCAAGTATGCAGTGGGTGGCTCATTTGCATTGATACATGATGTGACCTCTTCATCTATTGATGCGTGGGAGTTGACTGTTTTCCCCCACGTATGTCGAAGAGGTTTCAAAGTCCATTGCTTAATTGAAAGGAGATCGCAGATTACTAACGTGTTTCGTGCGTAATTACACACGCGTTAGAGTGCTGCGGGTGGGGGCGTAGCCATGGCTTTAACACTCAATGATAATGCAATGAGAACTTTTAATGTAAAGTGATTTAAACAATACGTGTGCTGCCTGGACTCGTTTCACGTCTGTCTGCGATCCTGTTTATTTAAGTTTGAAGCCAACCCAACTTCACTTTGACAGACATGGCTCTCAAATCCTTGGGCAATGCAACTAGCCTTTTTATTATAATTTGATTTGTAATCTACCCCCAGAGTTTCCAGATTATGCGATGGAATCCTCCTCCCTCGCCTCTCAAAAGTGACCATTTGAATTGGAAATGTAAAATCGTAACATCTGATACAAAATGAGGAAACAGTTCACCGACAACTGTTATTTTTCTGGCCAGATGGTGGCGCATTCTGTTCACACTGAAATAACTTGCGAGAGCTTTTTTCCTCGTAAGCGATCGCGGATAATATTTACGAATAATGGATGAAAAGTAGCTAGGATTTCATGTCAAAATTATAACACGGTTTAGATTTAAATATATTGATTAAATATGCACTTTGCTGCAATCAATACTGACAAATAATGTGTGTGCTTGCAACATTTTAGCTTCAAAAGGCATCAACAACAATACAAGTTCCAATGGATCTGGAAACGAGAAGCAATATATATATATATATATGGTCCTTCAAAACAATATTTGTTTTACAATGATCGTGTAACTTAACTTAGCATTTCTGTCAAGGTTATTTTATTTGGCAAACGTTCTTGGTCGAGTTTAAAGTAAGATTACTTTTTGGAGGGGTTGGGGGGTGGGGGGGATACAAATTGGTTGCAAGCAATGTTATTGCAATCTCTCACTCTGAATTACTTAAACACAGGCTGCAGACGGTATAGTGCGCTATACAGCAAAGGATGGGACACACCATTAAACTGGTGGAATTAATGTAACGTGTTTGCATGCGTGTCGCTCGGGGCACAAGCGATGCTGAATGCTGAAAGCATGAAGCAAAGGGGATTTGTCTTCAGAAACGAGACCTATTAATCCTCGTTTTCCCTGCAATTTCAGTATTGATATGATCCGGTAAACAGTTTACAAAATAATTAAAACATTCCTCTTATTTTTCCAAACGGTGACTTTAGTGTGACAATTCTCTCTCTGTTTAACATTATTAAACCAAATAAATCCCGGCATGTGGCTGCAGTTGTTTCATTTATCTTCATGCAGTTTAAATGACAAATTGAATAACGGTTTAAAGGGGCTAATATCGTGTGCTCTCTCATTGCTGCGAGCGTTCAATTCGAGGTGACATTTGTATATTTGCATTAATTACCTTGCACTGGGGAATGATTTGTTTTGCATTTTAGCTAAATCAACACTCTCATTATGTTACCAGAACGTCGAATAGGCCCTGATTGTGGGAAAATATGTTTATCTAACTAACTTTGTGTCAACTATTAAAACAATTCCTGGTATTTAATGCTGCGTGTCTGTCGGAATAAAACATCCAGAGAGACCGAGTGAATAGAGGAATAGCACTCAGACAGTAAGAGTTGTGCCCACTTGAAGGGATATCATGTGAAACCACAATAAAGGTCTACACAGCACAAGCACTCCTGAACTCCAGCGATGTATTCTCGTAAAAACAAACGCGTCCTCCTCACACTAACATACCATTAATACTTGTTACATTTCACTGAGCAGATAGATTTTTCATCATTTCCTCTGCATAATGATGTTTTAAACAATCTCCCCTCCGCTGGGTCCTTCCCAAACGTCCGTCCCCAGAGAAGCTTCCAAAAACAAGCTCTGCTTTCATATAGGTTCTTATACTTCCTTTACCAAATGGTGCATTTTACTCCTGGTTCGATGCTGGCTGTAAAGCCATTGAGAAACGATGGGCCTGGAGGTAAAACACTAATAACTGGGGTTTGGTAAGGATTCAGTACAGGTGGACAGTGACAATCTCTTTTAACATGAATAACATCAGGTGCCCTCTATTTTCGGTATGTTCTGTTTCCAGGCTGTGTGGTTATTTTCACCATATAGGAGGTGTTGTCAAGGTCTGTACCTTTCATTTTGTCTTAAGAACCCGTCTTGTCAGGTTGCCTTAGTGTCACTTCATTTAATTTCCACTGATGTGGACGAGACAAGGAATGGGGCGGCGGGGAAACGAAAATAAGAAAGGCAGAGAGTAACGAATATAAATACACTGAGTGGAAGTAATTCAAATGCGAAGGAGAGAGAAAAAATATATATCAACGAAAACAGAATGGGTACGAGAATACGCAGACATGTGGAGAGAGGGAAGGGTCTGAAGCGGCAAATAATAATAATAATAATCCTTGCATTTGATAGAGCGACTTATCACGTCTTCTGGACGTCTCAATGAATGCAATGTCACAATGAACTGACACTATATTCATATTGTAAGTGCATCGATCCTAGTTTGGCAAAGCCACGGTTACATGCCGGATAATTGCAATGTTTTATAGATGAGATGGCACATCAAGAGGGTCGGTTTGGTGCAAGGAATCTGCAGTCCCTCTACACAGACTGCTGTGACCCGAATGAAACTCTTGTCGAGGATTAGATTGCATTAGTTGTTCTGCCATTAAGATTTCCCTCAACCCAGTCCAGCCTTTCTCATTACTTGTTCGGAAGGAAAAAACTCAAGAAAGTGTTCTTTCTCTACGGGGATCGGCTAAAGAAGTCTCTAATCCCTTGCAAACTTGTTTTGTTTGATATTCTTTGGAAACTGTGCGTGTCATACACTGTCAGAGATGTGCAATACACTGGCAGTGTTTTACATGAAGTTTATCAGCGAGGAACAAGCGTATCGTTGTGGCTCAACAAACCGCAATGCACAGCAGAAACCGCACTCTTGTTTTACGGGTATCTCTGCTAAGTTCATGTTACACATACACCGCAACTGTCATCTCAACACTATTTGGGGACGAGGTGCCGAACTGGGGTGGGGGTGGGGGTGGGGGGGGGCGGTGGTGGATGGCGGGGCTGACACGGATATAAACCATTCGTGCAACTCTCAAGGTCAACGTCCATCGCCCCATCCATCAATTTGCACATCGACCGGTCGGTTCCTTGTGCATCTATAACCGGTGCAAAACGCGCCCGAGTTATAAAGCGTTTGCCTTCAGACTTTTAAGTGTAGAAGAGTAACGTATCGTTTGGGGGGTTGCGGTTTTTCAAACAGTTGGCTGTCGGCTTTCGGGATCCTTCTGCTTAACGCGAGTGCATCTGATTCGAGTGCACGGGATCGGCGGCCGTGTCTGTGCCTCTCGGGCAGTGCCGTGAACTTTTTGCAAAGTTTTTTTTTATTGACTTGACTTTGTCAGAGAGAGAGAGAGAGAGAGAGAGAGGAGTTGGGAGTTGGTGGGGGCCGCGCAGTGCGCCTGCGCCGTGACAGATCTCTCCCAGGACTCGGTTGAAATAGGAGGTGGTTCCGAGGGTCCGGAGGAGTCAGTTTAGGATCGGCATCTCCCTCCCAACAGAGCCCAACTCCCGTGCACGGCTGCTGCTCGGGACCTCTGACTGACACGGTCCCCCCGCCCGCTCTGCTCTGCTCGGCTCTGCTCTGCTCTGCTCGGCCCCCGCAGCGCCATCTCCGAGCTCAGAGCATGCCAACGTGGGTATGCGCCTGTGCCCCACACCGCAGCACCTCCAACTACTGTGCCACCCCCCCAAGTGAGAGAGCTGCCACCCTCACACCGGCCGAGGAGTCACCCACATCAGGTAAATAGACCGCATTCTCCCCACATCCCACCGCCCCACCACCGCCCCCCACCCAACCCCCCAACCCTTGTCCGGATCTGCACTCAGAGGAACGTGCCTTGTGCCGTGTCAGGTCAGACACACGGGGCAGGTCGCTTGTATTTTATTATATATCTATTATCTATGTATTATATATGTATATATATCTCCATCTCAGATTTTTGCATCTCAGGCAGAAAGTTGACCTGTTTTCAAACGAGTCACCCTGTCGATGTCACTGAATAAGTAACGCTTTATTTTCACACACACACATATATATATGTGTATATAACAGATTAAATTAAACGATCCCTCCCCCCACCCCAATAAATAAACAGCCCAACTTTGAGGGTCGCTTCTGTGGAGGGAGCTGGTTCCAGTTTGGGGGGAAACGTTTAAAACACAAGTGGTCAGTGAGGATTTTTATAGTTTGTTGAGAACTGAACGCCCGAGTTCCCATATTGTAACTCGGGCTCTGAAAAAGGACTGTTTTGAAACCGGCTCAACTTGAACGAAGCCCCAATGAAACATGTGTACAGTGCACCCAGTGGGTTGCAACTATTTCAGCACCGCTTGGTGGGTCATGTACTTAACTTAAGGGGCACGTTTTTATTTGCACCGCATTTCCGACCAGTCACTGCGTTTTCCACTGTGCGCGCCTCATGCAATGCAATATTTTGTGCAGAATTTGGAAATGAACCACAGTTTATTTCTCTTCGGTTGCTTGATATATTTTGGGTACAGTTTGATCATATCTCCACAGGCTCTGACAGTGCCTGATGGAGCACGTGCTGGGATCCACAGGCTGGATATAAACACATACATGTTTATGAGCTTGCCTCCCCATCACACCTGACCCGATCTCTCCTGTTCGCTCAATCGCTACCAGTTGTGTTGCAAGAAGGCAAAACGCGGTTAATGTTATCGAATGAGTTGCTTCCTTCCGATCAGTGATTTGGGTCCCATTTGTTTATTTTAATCCTACTACCAGACACTGTTGTAAACTTTTTAACATATTAAAACTTCCACACTCGAGTGTGTTCAGAGGTGAGACTTTTGCCAGAGGCGTTAACACAATGTCCATTTGGGATGTTAGATCAATGTGTTTTTGTGTGTGTGTGTGGATATATTTTTAAAATGAAGCAACTATGATCAATGAAACTATAGTTTTACAAACAAGGTTGAACGCTTGCAGCATAATTAGTTTTTTTTTAAATTCCCAAACAACCGCTTATTGTCCACATCGACAAACACAACTAAAATCTTTACGATTTCCAGACGAGCTGTTAATTTATGTACAAAACGTAAAAAAAGATTGCCCACTGGGGGGAAATCGAGTAAACATTTGTAAATTAAGAGAGGGGAAAATACCGTGGCCAATTTGTAACCAGTTTCATGTTCTTCGAGTATTTTAACGAGTCGATCCAACGTTAAATAACTAATAACACAAGAATATTTTTATGTGTATGAGAAACGTAAAAAAAGACAAAATAACTTGGTTCAACAACCAGAAGCGTTTTAACTGATGAGATCAAATATTGTTTCAAATCACATTATCCCGGGATCACGGATGTGATTTCAAAGGACATTTGGTTGCAGGGGTTACCCTTGGTTCAGCCCAGTGCCGGCGGTCCCTGAGAGGCTGAACCCGCTGCTGCTTTCTAAGGACTGAACCAGACAGAAAGCAAAATGAAGCGGTTCAGGAGCAGTTGTGCCCTCTCAGCAGTTACACTAACTTCTCTTTATCAGTTGTTCGCAGTAACCCGTGACGTATATCTAAATATACAAGGGACGCGACTGTTTCTATTAAAAAGAAACGTCCTGCGCCAACGATTTGGATGCAAACCAGCTGACTGCTGAAATCAGTTATCCAGTTTTCTTCCTCTCTCTGTACACAGAATGCATAATCCCCCCAAACCTTGCCAAGCACATTTCTCCTCCCACCGTTCAGTCAGTATGAAAGCATTGCCGTCCGCATATTGCGTGCTTGTTTGTCAATATTAATCAATATTGTCAGCTTTTTTTTTAATATTAAAAAAAAGGGGGTCTCGGAGCGCTTGGGGTTTTCCTAACACGGTTTCCTCGATGTGAATCGGCGTTAATGTGTTGAATAATGAAGCGCTTGAAGATTTCGGATGCAGATCTAAAAGCAAATGCTGATTGATATCTCGCAGCGAGTCCAGCCTTTGATACTTCTCCAGCTCAATTGACACAATAACGTGCCTTTATTGAGCTGACACAGCCAGGGCAACATTGCATCAGACTGATAAATGAGTACAGAACTGCTGTATATCTAAAGTGGGGAAGAAAAGGGCAGAGTGAAGGGGCGAGAGATTCTGGGCAGACGCACCTTTTCAAGTTTATGATGTTATTTTGTAGAGTAAATTTATCTTGTCAGAATGAAGTATGCTTCGACGCTATGTCAGCACACAAGTGGTCTGCTCTCGATTACTCAGCAACTAACTTTGTTATTTTTTTAAAATAACTGGTATTTTATTGCGATCGAAGGGAGATAAGGTACCACACTCCGCTTTAAGATGGAGATAACGATCTGTTTACATTTACGAGGATTCGCGTTAGTCGCTGTGGGGGAAACCCTACAACCACACAAACGCATTCAGTGTCGAACGAGACTTTGAATCGAAGTGTTGTAATATCAATCAATGTTTCACCATAGACCGGGGTTAACCGCTTCACTTTTTTTTTCTCGTGTTGGAACTGTTAAGTCGCTTTTTATTTGCAATTGTGTCCAGTGGGGCCTGAGCAACATGTGATTTATTGGGAAAGGAAAGAGAAATGCTTCGTGGTCTGAAGTTACTAGTCACACGGGGAGGAAAATAGCGCTTCTTGTAACGTGTCCGTGTTTTCCTTAACTCGCCCACTTAATACATGGGTTGCAGCTTTATTCGTTAACTCTTTGAGTGTTGAATTGCCCGCCCTTCACAACAGTCAACGACTCCAATTCAGAGTGATACTCAGACACTTACCTGAGGTGCGTTACTGACTATAGCAATAGCAAATTGGGAGGAATTTAAACACAGTGACATATTTACATTCGCGATATTCTCCGAAGAAGGAAAACGAGTTTGTGTTTTTATCTGTATAATAAAATAGCTTCGAATAATACGATCAGAAGAACTTTTTTTATAGGAATATAAAAAGACTTAACAGTTTGCTCTGTGCAAATTGGCCTGTCGTATTCACCAACAAATACAGTCGCTACTCTGTACACGAAAATCTGGGAGGCGTTTTGAGATGGCCACTTGACCTGCAAGGCACTATATCGAAATAGATTATTAAAGGTAATATCAAAGAATATTATCCGTTTGCTTCACCTGATGAAAAGACGTGCAGGATCCCCAAAACGTGTACTCTGTTTTAATCCTCTTAATGGTGGACACAATCATTATCGAATTCTTGTCCCCCATATAATATTTAAAGTAAGAATTATAGTGAAGGTAATGCTTAAAATAATGTAGTTAATGTTTAAATATAGCTCTCTAAAGCACTGCGTTCTCGGCTAGGTCAGTTGTAGAGTTGTATCTGTGTTTTCTCTAAATATATATAGAAAAAATGCACTTAAACTAAATATTACCAACAACTAAAATTAATTGCTAATTTTCTATTTTTAATGCAGACAAATCGGTGTGCGCGCATTTTGCATAGTCGTTTGGTGGATCGTATAACAAATGTAGCATTTTAGCACTTAAATTGATTGTTGCAGTTACGAATACACCTGCTGTTACGAATGAGTTTACATTCGCTCTTAAAATGCATCACATTGATCGCATCCCCATTGCTTAATGTCAGCAATTTTCTTTTGGGGGATAGCAGAATTAAAGTGAAAATGTAACATATCTATTGGTGAGATTTAAACTGGTGGGTGCGATAGCTTGGTTTAAAAATCAAATATGAAATGTGCACTGAATAAGCATTGAATCCTGCAATCCTAGCAATAATAATTAAAGCAATGATTCAGGTTTGTTATTCTTAAATGAAACGATTCCTAGCTTTACGATCTGATATAAATAAATACCAGTACGTTTGGTATATATGTATATATATATGGATATATTTATGGATATATATATATATGTTATATATGCGTTTGTTATATATACAGTATATAATATATAACAAACACATATGATACTATTCGTCGAGTTGGCAGATCTTGTATAAAATGCTTCCTGGTTTCATTTTCCCCCCTTCTAAACGTGTTACATTATTTCCTTTCTATGTGTCCCCAATACCCAGTCTTCGTTTATATTGAGTCTTTGTTGGCCTCGACTCCCACAACAATGTGCATTGATATAGCGCCCTTCCAGCGGGCAACGCCTCGGGGCGTTTAAACCCAACAGTACATGTAAAAATACGACAACGACGATTCCTCGTGGAGTTTTTTTTTAACATTTATTATACTTTAAGGCAAATTAGCTTTTCACAATGTTTTGAATCAGTAGGGAATTACAAGGCGGTATGCTATGCATTGCCCCCCAGAGACCACATGTTAGTGCGTAATGTTCTCTGCTGCTTATCTCGCTCTTGCTACAGATGTCAGTCTAAGTCTATTCGAAAGAAAAACACAGTCAAACGGATTACGACTGTTCCTGCGTGCGATTCTTAAAATTATAAAAATGTGCGTAACTGCTGTTTTTAATCTTCAAAAGACACCCAGACAGAATCGTGTTCACCCGGGAGTTTAAATGGATCAGTCGTTTGCGGTTGGTCTGTGCGTGTATTTTAGCACCTTAACAAATACATTATCTCACCTTACAATTTCCAAATAGATAGATAGGTGCGCTTAGAGCTGCTTCATATTTCACCAACAATAAATTTGAGCAAAGATCACGATCAAAGCGTTTGCCTCTAATTGGACATCTCTTAACATGGATGAGATGATAAGTAATTTCGAAAAAAAAACCTCGGGTACCTACCAAGGAATCTCGTCTTATTTTTCTCAATAAATATAACAGCTGAAAAGTAGCTACAACGCGGAGTGTTCCTAAAATTGACTTAAATTGCTTCAAATTCTACATGCCTGTGCCAGAAATATATTGAAATTATTTCATTTAACTGCTATAAATCCTCAAGGGCATTGTTTACAACCTCCAGTGTCCGGGTATATATTCGATGTCTTTTATCAAACCAGCAAATAAAAGACAAGTGCGAGACCAGTGAAATATAATTATTGTGTCGCTCTCGATAGCGTTAACACTTACGTAACGGTCGGAGATATCCCAGTGCGGTTTCCAAACGCTGCTTTGAATGGTTTAGTGAGTACCGTCTTATACTAAAAAAAATCTCTATAGTCTCATTGCTGCAACGTAAGCATACTTTCAGCCTACGTCGAGTCGGTTGTGAGACAGAAGTACAGGTTAACATAATACAAATTAATCATCAGCTAATATAATTGTAGATACATAACCCAAGCGCTGGCACTCCTTTCATCGCATATCCACTGACAAATTATTCGTGACTAGCTGCATTGAGCATTATCTGTCATGACTGCTGGGAGTTAAAGGAGATTTCTGGTGTGACTTTTCTTACCAACGCTAATGGAAAGTCTCACCAATTAGCAAAGCCAATCTTAGTGAAATGTCACTGTATTTTATTCCGGGTCATCGCAGAGGAATTCCGCATGATGTCAGTTCGCTTGATTTGCCAATTCATTTCGAATGATTTATACAGATTACTCTTATGGGGCACTTGTGTATTATTTTCTCTTTCACATATAAGGTCGATTGTTGCAATTGGTCGAGAGTGAAATTCCAAGTTACTTTTATAGTTATTTATGCAATTATCCTGCATTGCGTGTCCCTTTTTTTTAGTATTAGCTTTTTCCCCCCCCTTCTAAATAAATAAGCGTTTGGATTTTTCTGATGATCCGCTGAGCAAGACTCAAATTACTTCCGCGTCGTGATCAGGAACCAACAAATCCCTCGGGATTCCAGCACCAGAAATGCTAATTAGTTGTATCTCACCTTATTTATTCCAAATACTGCTGGTTTTTGCATCGATCTCTCTCTCTCTCTTTCTCTCATCTCCAGCATTAAATCTGGTAAAACTATCTTGGAAGAAGAAAGGCGGAACATTTGCAGTAGAATTAAGTGGTTCATTAAATGAACCTCCACTGGCCACTAAATTACTATGGATTGAAAATTAAAATGTACTTGTGAAAGGGATCGTTTTATAACATGTTCATTTTAATACCGTTTAATATAAGCAATAGGATTTCAAAATGACAAAATGTTTCTAAAGTAGCTTCAACTGAGAAATGACTTTCAAACGCTTTCTTACGAAGCTGCCTTTCCTCTGTCCTTATCTGTGATGTGTAAATGCGGTTAAAGGGTTACCACAAGCAAACGCCTGACTCGTTTATTTTATTTTATTTGTTTATGCCCAATTGTTCCACCAGTTCGACCAGTCGATAGATAGAAAGATCCATAGATAGATGCGATCAATAAAATATTTGAAGGTGTGAAACTATTCCCGGTGAAACGCGCTCTTCCATTTACAAAGCGCTAACGCCTGAAAAAAAAATGCTTTTAATTTTGCAATAGATCAAGCCGGGATATAATCTTGCATACACGGAACGGTGCAATGAAATGTGCATTACAGCACAAGGCGATAATTGCCAAGTGGTTAATATTTGGCCTTTTAAAGCGAGAAAGGAGAATAAAAATAAACTTTTGTCTCCTGGGGGTTACACACACATTCAACTTGTCACGACATTTTATTGATGGCTCCTGTGAGGCTGGATGTTGAAAATATTTTGTTTAAATGTTACATCAGTTTTAAGACGTGAAGTCGGGCAAAGACTTGCTGTTTGATTTCCATAGCTACCAAGGAAAGGGAAAATAAGGGCAGTCGAGTTTGAAAATTGCCTTTCATTGGTTTGGATGATTATTGCATTAGGAACACAAGTCGCCGACTGATCACAACCCAAATGCACAGTCGCATGTGGAGAGCGGGGGGTGGGGGGGCATTTTATTTCAATACCAATATGCTTTATACACCATCTGCGCTTCATATGTCTTTAGGAGTTGGGGAATAATTTGGGACTGCATCCTCGCCTGGAAGATGTGGATGTAGAAGTACTGAACGTTATAGTGTTTCAGGACCCATAAATATTTCTCGTAATTTTCACAGGGGTTAGCCTTGCACGCCTTTACAGACAGACCGCAACACACGCACACTTTGGCACTAAAGATTTCAGAATTGCTCTTGGCCTCAAGCTTCAAGTGAGGTCAATCTGACACAGAATGAACTGCATCTCGGTCTGCAGCTAACTGCAAAGTGACTGCTCAACGTCGATGCCACAAGATGAGCACATTCCTATTTATGTCCCTCACACTCACAGTTCAGACACGTGAAATATCCTCACGTGTGACTGGTCTTTTTTTATTAAAGACACGCTACTTTTTTAAAAGTTTTCCAAAAAAAAATCTGTTAACTTGTGCCGAGTTAAGACGTTTCGACCAACGGCCAATTTGTCAGTCTGCGATGATAAATGTGTATTTATTTGTTCCTTTGCTAACTGCAACCCCCCGCTTTTGGGGATGTGTCTGGCGAGGGGCGTGTCTGGGTCTTGGTTTATTGGGAAGTGAATTGCGGGATTTGCTCTGAGTGGAGTTTATTCATTCCCTGCTTGTCTTGGGTTATTTTACAGACGTCTTTTTCGAGCTGTCCAGGTCTCCATCGAGCCCAGGATCACTCGTGAGCACGATGGGCAGTAAGACTATCCCAGCTCCAGTGCCTATCCACCCATCCGTACAGCTGGCCAACTACTCATTTCTCCAAGCTTCCAACGGCATCCCGACTCCTGCAGACCATCTCCCCAACCTGTATGGCTTCAGTACCCTGCACACTGTGCATCTGCACCAGTGGACTCTAGGATACCCGCCGATGCCTCTCGCCCGCTCTTCCTTCTCCAAGGTGCCAACCGTGTCGGCTGTGGTGGACACCAGGTTTCAGCTGCCCACCATCCCGATCTTCCCCCACGTCTTCCAGCCCAAGCAAGACTCGGGGAATATTCCCACCAAGACCAGACCTCGGTTTGACTTCGCTAACCTGGCCATCGCTGCTACCCAGGAGGAGCACCCAAAGCTGACCCAGACAGATGGACACTGCTCTCCCTCGGCTCTCGGCTCCCTGCTGGATGTCAGTAAGCTGTCCCCGGAGAGGAAGCCCACCAGGGGCCGCCTGCCGTCCAAAACCAAAAAAGAGTTCGTTTGCAAGTTCTGCGGGAGACACTTTACCAAATCTTACAACCTCTTGATACACGAAAGGACCCACACGGATGAACGGCCCTACACGTGTGACATCTGTCACAAGGCTTTCAGGAGACAGGATCATCTGCGTGATCACAGGTGAGGCTGTGTGTTCATTCACATGTAACCACTCACTGCGCTGCCACTAAACTCCGGCCATTAAATAGTGATATGTCGGGCAGGAGACGCCGATTAGTCAACCGAGGAATTTAAAGCCTGATAAGATAACTAACTGCTGCTTGGTAATAGCTACTTAGTTGGTTCTGAAACCGTTGCAACGACGAGATCCACTTGCTGTTTCAACCTGTTTCAATCGTTGCATTTCCATGTCGCCCCCTGTGTTATTTCCTTTTGAATTCTTGCTGTTAATGGGGTGGAAATCGTTATCGACTGTGACTATTTAGAGGCCAAAACGTTGGCTTTAACCGATCGTTTTGTGTGTGTGTGTGTGTGGGGGGTGGGTGGGTGTGTGTGTGGTTGTCACTCGGCGGGTGTGTTTCTAAGATGACTATTGATCTGTGTTCCTTTTTTTTAATTTCCAATTTGACTCAGGTACATTCATTCCAAAGAAAAGCCCTTCAAATGTCAAGAATGCGGCAAGGGATTTTGCCAATCCAGAACATTAGCTGTTCACAAAACACTGCACATGCAGGTAAAAGAGCTCAAAACGTCTAAAGTAAAGTGCTGAGGAATAGAGACCGCAAACAGGACTCAGACGCAACATTGATGAATATATGTGGACCCCCATCCTGACCAAAAAAAAAAAAAAAAAAATACACAGCACGAGCTATTATAAAACGGCTGCTGGTTTTATTTTTTTTTTAAAAATTGCAATACGAAAAAAAATATCTGTTGGATCCTACTATGGGAAGAGCCGTGCGGTTTGGCTTAATGTGAGCAGCTCCTGGTTGCAGTTTAAGGTGGACGCATTTAACTGTCGCCCCACGTCTTGTCCTCTCATCCCAACGTGAACTTTGGGAGTTGGAAGGTGACGCTTTGTCTTCTGTGTTGTTTGACAGGAATCTCCTCACAAATGCCCGACGTGTGGCAGAATGTTTAATCAGAGGAGCAACCTGAAAACCCACCTTCTTACCCACACTGACATCAAACCATACAACTGCCGTCAGTGTGGTAAGGTTTTCCGGAGAAACTGTGATCTGAGGCGACACAGCCTCACCCACAACCCAGGAGACGACCCCCAGCTTAAAAGGCTGCAATATATGGATAACGACGGTGTTTGAGTTCACCTTTTGCCCGGGCTCTCCCTCACCTTAGGGTTTAGGAATGAATCACCGAGCCTGCCCTGGAAACCTACAGAGGAGGAATGTTGCAGACTTGTGGTTATGAATGTATAAGGAAAGTCTTGACTCTGGGGATCCAGGTTGTGGTTTGACCTTTCTGTCGGCAATTGCAAGGGAATTTGCACCCTGTTGCTTTAGGATTCACAGCTGAGCCCCAAACATACGGCTGCTTCCAGTGAAAAATCTCCCACTGCAGAGGAAAGCGACAGCAGAGTGTAACTGGACTCCAGGTTTCTGCCGTGTGACCAGGGAAGCCAGTGCTGAGACTTGTGTGGATTGGAGCATGGTACCAAAGTACACTGGTCACTTCACAAGGAAAACAAAAGAATAACGCCATTGCAGTTAACAACACGGACATATTAGTTACATTCCATCTTATGCGTTTTACAATTTTTCTGTAAATGTTTTTGGCACTTTATGCTGTTTTTTTTCTACTATTTTCATTTACCACTGGATTTCTAATCTTTTATCAAATAAATTGCCATTTCTTAGAGGCAGCATGCAGTGTACTGACTGCTCCTTTTCTTGAACATATAAAACGTTTAAAATTAAGAGGATGGCTTGCTTCGTTCTGCTTCATTGGCAGGTGATTTGACAAATATCAGAAATTATATAGCAGTCCCCAATAACTTGTCTTTAGAAATAGATTGAATATCACAAAACCCTCCTAGGTCAGTAGAAGATTTCTGCTAACCAGCTGTCTTCCATCTCAGTTACAATCGTATAAAAGTGTAAAGCAATGTATTTAATACATTTGAAAATCCCTTTCAACCTTACATACGTTACCTATATATCAGTGTTTGAGCCAGGAAGGTTTACTCAAGAGATATTCTTTGGAGAAGAGATTTATTCAAAACGTTTAAAGCAATAAACAGAAAAATCGGGAGATTTATTACAATTTCACTTTATATTTTAAAGGCTTCTTTTTATCTACCCTGAAATTTAGGTCAGGGCTCTCATACAGTTCTAAAAGTTTGACTGTGACCAGATGTTTTTTTGGGGGGTGATTGTAACCATTAGTGTAAAAGGCTGTGGACTCAGACCCGCTAACAGACTGTTTAAAGCATGTGGCTGGAAAAGACTTTGATGTGTGTGTTGTCTTCTGTTATCTGTACTCTTACTTCACACATTCACTTTCAGCATGAAGGCAGACTGCCTTATGTTTCCAAACCATCAACACTGATTTGTTTGGGGGGAAAAATGCAAATTAAAAGCTTATTTGGGTATTTATCTGGGTGTAAGATTTGGGACTTTAACAAATAGGTATTTATGGAGACCAGGTATTCTCAGAAGGAAGAGGTGTGACTCAGAGGGAACTACTCTATACTCAACTGACAAGGAAAATAATAAAGTAATCCCTTTTTGGATTTGATACAGTGAATTTCACATTGTGAGGATATCTCAAATTGCTTTGTAGAGTTTATTGTAAAGTGTAGGTAAAACTGCTGAAAAATGGATAGTTTTAAACTACATTGTGCAAATTGGTGAATACGGTTTTTGAATCAAACCTCTAGAATTCAATAGCATGGAAGTTAAAAGTTAAACAATAAGAATAGTAATAATAATAATAATAATAATCCTTGCATTTGATATAGCGCTTTTCACGTCGGGAGGACGTCCCAAAGTGCTTCACAGAACACACTGTAAAGTGAATTGACTGTATAATTGTGGGCGAACGCGGCAGCCAATTGCGCACAGCAATGTCCCACAAACAGTCGTAGATCGAAAATGACCAATTTATTATTGTTTTTGGTTTTGGAGGGATTATTAATAGTAATCCTTACAATTGGAATGCCTTTACGTCGGGAGAGCATCTCAAAGTGGCTTCACAGAATATACTGTAAAGTGTTTCTTGCGGGCAAATGTGGCAGCCAAACAAGCAGCCATGAAGTGAATGAGCAATTTTATTTGGGGGATTGTTGCCAGGACACTGGGTGACACACCCTTCACTTGTTTCACTTAGAATTGAATGAGAAAGGTCTGAAGTGCGGTCAGGTGCCCCTTTATGGACTTTTTGGGGCAGGCATGAAATATTCGACAAATTGGGTAGTCTTGAGGCATTATTATAAGTGGCTTATGCAACTTATAGATTATTGCAATCTGGTTATGAGTACAACTGTTATTAATGAGTGGATATAAATGGAGAGTTTGATCGTATAAGCGATGCTAAATACTACACTGGAGTCGGACTCCGGAAGAAGTCACCAATCCAACACTGAAAACTGCTTGTGTTACCCATCAATTCTTCCACAGTAGAGCAACCCTTCTATTTAAAATTCTCTCTGAACTTTTAAATGCAAATGTGACTACTGCCTTATAATCATTCCTGGGTATCTATTTTTATCCACTACCCTGTCTTATAGAGAAATGTTGCACTCTTTAAAAAGACAGTCACTAAATCAGAAGTTGCCCAATTCTTTCTGTATGACAGCTACAAGCTGGGAGAAAAAACACAGGAAAAACGATTTCAGTTCCAGTAATCAGCTAAACCTGTAATTGCTGCATTCTTGATGGAAGAAATGATGCACAATCGCAGAAGGAAGGTGTTTTCTATTTTTCCAGAGCCTAACCTGAGATTGACCATATATTTTGCAGAAAGCATTGTGACCTGAAAATATTTCCTGAAGCTGAAATTAAATGAAGACTTATATTAAAAAAAAGTGTGGGCTAGAAAATTATTAAGGGTGTAAAGAGTTGTACGCTTTAATTTCCTATCAACACACAGTGCTTTTTCTTTTTAAGATGCTGATTGATTAGTTGTGGTTTTCAGCACCACAACATTTTTTTCTTAAAACGGTATTGTTTTATTATGCTACTATTACAACAAAGAAGCTTGGGTGCATTCCTATTCTTCGCTGCTGCCAGGAATCATAGTCTTTTGGTTTAACAGAAGGTTGCTAAACAGAGTTTTTGTTTGAAAATTGTCAGTGGATTATCAGACAGTGGAAACTCACCATTAAGGACAATACATAGACAATTTGCTCTTCTTAGCAAAATGTCCTTAAATATTGAATTTCAGATTTTGGTCACTGATTTTTCAATGAAAAAAACAGGCTGTGGAAATCATTAGAACAGTGAGTTGCCCTGTTTATTAAGGTTCCCAAAGGTAAAATTACAATGTAATTAAAGCAACACACTAAAGACTCATCATAATGATATTGGTGTCCTTATGTGATCAAAGTAGCATTATTACCACAAGACAAGCTCCGTGCTGTCAATCGATATGAGCACATTTTGCGAAACCTCACTTGTTATACTGATTGCTTACGTTAGCAATGCAGTTTGGGCTGTTCGAATTCCAGCATTATTGCAATGCATGCTCTTGAGGTCCCCAAATCTTGGCTCCTGCCAACCTGTGCCTAATATGCCTAAGATTAGATGAGCAGGGTGTGCCCCTCCATGGAGAGAATACACACTCCATTCCAGACAAAGGGAAATTTCCATGGATATGTGAAACTCAATAGTTTAATCTGCTTTAATTAAGCAGGGTGATGTGTTTCTAGTGTGTCAAATGCCCATTTTACAAAAACACAGATTTATTAAAAATCCTAAATTCATTCTTAATTTTGAACCCAGTTCTTTTTTAGCAACTGTGGAAAACTGGCTTCCAAAATAAGACTGGATTTAAGAATCGTCATCAAGATTGCATGATAATATTTGTTTTAAACAAAATAATCTTAAAGGTTTAAGATAGAATGCTAGCCCTTTTAATTATGATAGTTGGTGCAGTTCAAATCATTATAATGCATATTTACAATGTTATCTGAATCATTCAGTTGTGATTTGCATTGATGCTCTTCTTGAAACCTCTGACAGGTTTGTTAATCAACAGCTTTGTTAATCATAGGAATTTTTACCAAAATTCCTCTAGGATGATTGAGGTGTGAATGGAATTATGCATCTTTAGGCTGGAGTTCCATTGACTAGTGAGCCACATTCTTAGGCTTCTAATGGGTTAAAGAATGAAAAGATTACTGTAAATAAGCAATCATTTCATGGTACGTAAATCATGATGTTGGAATTAGTTTCATTATAGTTAAGAGTTTCACAATATCCCAGTATGCCTTGTGTTGTATTGGACAATTGAGTAGAATAGATCAGTTAAAACAGTTTAGAGAAGACATTCGGATTTTCCATTTAATAGATTTAACAATGTATAAAATGTAATGTTCCTTGTCATGTTGGAACACTTTATATTAGTAATAGGATAGACTATAAAATAATTCTGTTGTGAAAATAGCTTACAATATGTATATATTTAACACTAAATCGTTTAAAAACTCTGGGACTCTACCCTGCATAAGGGGTGCTATATAAATGCAAGTTGTTGTTGTCGTTAATACAATTGATAGTGCAATTGAAGTTTGTCAAAATCAGTAAATAAAATAATAGAATGAAAATACCCATTTATTTATCCAACACCTCTGTAAATTCATTGCAAGCTTTAGGTTTCTCAACCGTTAGTATGTGTACATTTTATTTTTTGGGGAGAAGAGAGTTAAAATGACTATTAATACTGTTTAAAATTAATATTTTGCTGTTCAAGTTTTTTTCCCATGTGGTTGTCTTTGTGAACTTACGTATAGCAATTTCTGATATACCACATTGTTAAGGTGTAACAACTGCTTTTGAAGTTAGAGTTTGTACCTGTTTTTCCACTAGATTGTTGCAGCATCTGTTTCCATATTGGCATTCTACAATAATCTCTTAATGCTAGGTTATGATAATTACCATTGTTAGTATTTGACTACTCATAGGTTTAAACTGAACACAGTTGTATGACAGGGATATATATATAAATTATCACCTTTATACCCGTTTCCATGTATCATACACAACTTCCTGCTGGAGAGAGCAGACAAAGGGTTCTATTGTCTGGTAGTAGGGATTTTTTGTTACTTGTTTACAGTAGAATTTCTTACCATGAACAAAAATTAACAAAAAGATCAGAACTTTTAGTTATCGGTGCCTTATGTACCCCATGTACTCAATGAAGGGTGTTTCTCCTGGTATCCTGGCCTACAATCACCCAAATAAAATTGGTCATTCAGCTCATGATTATTTGTGGGAAATTGCTGTGTGCAAATTGGCTGCCGCATTTGCCAACAGAATACTCATAGTCACATCACTCAACAGTATGTCCAATGAAGACAGGTTAAGGCGTATAGCAAATGCAAGAATTATTATTATTATGTCCTTCGCCAACATTACACTTTCCCACTAACCTCCTTACTTCAACTCCCCAACACCCCACTCTGCAACACCCATTGGGGCTGAAATTCTTATCTATACGTTTGTCATCTCAAGGATAGATTTTACCATTGATTTCCTTATTGACCACCTCAGCTTCACTATCCACAACTTTCAAACGATCCAGAGAGCCACGGTCTAGAGTTTTTTCCTCACATGGCTTCCAACAGACTCATTATTCAATTCTCACCAAGCTCCATTGGTACTTCAGAAGTTCAAGTTGAGGATCTAGTCCACAAATCTTTCTGTGGTCTTGCCTCACCTTATCTTTGCAGACTTTTTCAGGTCTACATTACAGCCCTATTTACAGTGTATCTACTAGAATTCTTCATATTCTGGTCTGTTGCTCAGTTCCCATCCTTTGTTCGATCATTGGTGTCTGAATCTTCAACCACTATAGCCTTGTCCTCTGTAACTCTTTTAAAACAATTTGACTTTCTTACATTTCTCCCCACTTCACAAACTTCCAAAAACACATCAGTGAGAGATATAGAGACTGACCATGTAACTCACAATTAACAAATTACTGACAATACTGTATCAGTAAGTCATAGATTTTTGTATTTAATAATATCCCATAAAATAGTGGAATACACTGCCTCAGTGCTAAGGCTGTTGAGGCAGAATGAAT